TTCACGCGATTTTTACAAGTTTTAGATTCTTTGGCTTTTTGGAATTTCTCTAGAACCTTTAGAATCTTTCAAGTATTCGACACAGAATTTTAGCTTTTGACCCCTAGACTCCTTGAATCCGTTAAAATCGTTAATCTTTAAACTTTAGAGTATTTTCTTAGAGAATATATCATTTACCAAAATCAGTCTTATCTTATCAAGTACTTGCCCCACCCAGCCGCTCTCTATTTTCATAGAAGGTATAACATTTGCCATAGTTAGTTTTATCCTAGCGAATACTAGCGCCACCCACCCACCCTTTATTTATTTAAAGAGTATGTCATTTACTAAAATCAGTCTGACGGTAACAAGTGCTAGCCCCGCCTTTCCGCCCTCTATTTTCTTAGAGGGTATGGAATTTGTCACAATCAGTTTTATCTTAGCCAGTACTAGCTTAGATACAATTGATTTTGGCAAATGACATACCCTCTAAGAAAAGAGAGGGAGGGTGGGCGGGTCTAGTGTGCCATCCGTGAAAGCTTTTATACTTGTTGAATCTTTCAAATCGCTCGAAACTTTGGAATCTTTTGAATCTCTAGAATCTAGAATCTAGAATCACTATAATCTTTAGAGCTTTCAGATTTTCATTATTTTTAGTTACTTCATTATCTCTAGAATTTTAAATATTTTTAGATCTTTATGATTTTTATCTTCTTTCCAATTTTTAAATGTTTGGAACCTGTAGAACCTTCGGAATTTTTGATATCCCTGAAATCTCTTTAGAATTTTTAAATTACCGTCTTATGCAGCTTTTTTAATTTTTTTAAAATTCCTGAAATCCTTGTAGTCCTTAGAGTTTTTGGCATCCGTGAAAGCCTTAAAACCTCGAAACTCTTTTTGTTTCGCCTCTGGTATGGTTGACATACTGAGTTACCGTGCTTTTTGCCTTATTCTTAACTCTACTCCTGAGGATGCCACTTACGAAAGTGTGCGAAAGGTTGAGCTCAAAAACTCAATTAACACGGTTCCAACCCGGAAAACGATCATGTATTGATTCCGACCGTGCAAGCCTCCGAAATTAGAACAACTATATATTTTTACATATTTTGATTGCTCCTGATAAACACGGTTCATTTTTTGAAATGTGTTAGCATTCGTTATTGATAAAATCTTAAAAAATTTCCACGTTTGTAAAAGATCCAAAATTACATTTTTTTCTTAAATAAACATAGGTCAAGGGGTGTAGGATATGGTGATCTTGTGAGCTAGGTATCGAATTTTTTTCTAGGATTTCCGATTCATCGCTTTGGACAATGGGGATTTCAAGAGGATGTTCAAAAGTTATAAAAGGTCTTTCGATATCTAATTAACATTTTTACTTCCCGAGCGTAAGTCAAAGAAGTACATAGTACTTACATAGAGTACGAAAAAAGTGGTCTCCCGTTTTTCTTTATCTATCATCTGCCCGAACTACTGGACCGATTGTTGTCAAATTTTGTATATACGTTAGGAATATCATGTAGATGGTAAAACGCTAACCAAAATTTGGATAATCATTCCCACCAACAATTTGATGACCTCATCTCAAAGGATTCTAAATTAAAATGATTTAAATATTATACAAAAATACATATACTCCAATACTTGTGGCGTATGAGTCCGCTTTGAATTCTCCTTAAACAAATGCCAAATTTTAGCAAAAAAATTAACAAAGTATAATAACATTTGGTCACTAACACCTTATGTAGGCTATATGGAGTTGTCGCTTATATAAAGCGCACGCGGACCTGATTTCGCACGATCGATCCCAATTTGGCTGTTTCTTTTTTTATTATTTTATTAATTACTCTCTAATTTTTTAGATAATATTCAGAACGCTTTGTTCCACTGTGACTTAATTAATAATTTTAGTCATCTGTTTTGAGGAGATAAACTCAAATTAGACAAATTGCTATGTGCTAAATGTGACATTCTCTCGATGTATAAATATACACAATCAAAGTTAATAAGCAGGTACACTGATAATAACATACTTTTTCCCGTTGGTTACGTGTTTTAAATATATTTCATATTGTCTGCACATGTGCGGACCGCGCCCTCTTACAATTTGCGCCTCCAAGGCGCAGGGGTTGCGGGGTGTCCTTTACGCCACTGGTTCTTAGAGAGGTTATCACAAAGGAAAATTCGCAAAATCAGATTTTATAATTTTTTAAAGAAGCGGAATTTGTTGAATCGTACTTCAACAGCGAATAAATTTCTGCTAAAATACATTCGACCAATTTTTTCAAATGGTATCTGAAAAAATTATGTGACTATTTATGGCACATCAGATTACATGACTTGATTTTGTAAAGTTTTGTGCCAGTAAAGTGTCTCTAGATACTCAGAAGAACATAATTAACCCCGCCCACCCACCCGCCTCCATTTCTGTGATTAATTTTATCTAGTTACTCTGAATGAAAAGATGGATCTTATACAGAAATAAAATGAGTTTCTAACATGAGAAGAGAGAGAGTGGGCGTTGCTAGTACTTGTTAAGACAAGAGTGATTTTTGCAGATGACATACATTTTAAAAAATTAAGGGGTGGGTGGGTGGGGCTAGTGCTTGCATCGGTAAGACTGAACAATATTAAGAAAAATCACTGGAATGAAGAGGGGGTGGGTGGGCGGGGCTATTGCTTGCCTATAAAAGACTCTTTAGGAAAAAGTTAAACTTATCCCCGCCCACGCACCTGTTCTCTCATTTTATTTTCTTCTGAAATAAGAAATAAATCTCGTGACAAATAATACAACAAAAAAGTCACTTTTAACGCTTTTTACAACCTAATTTCTATTAGTTCCCACTCCCAGTCTACAGAAGAACACATAACTAACACCGCACACGCACCCACCTCCTTTTCTGTGATTAATTTTATCTAGTTACTCTGAATGAAAAGGTGGATCTTATACAGAAATAAAATGACTTTCTAAAAGAGAAGAGAGAGAGTGGGCGTGGCTAGTACTTGTTAAGACAAGAGTGATTTTGGCAGATGACATACATTTAAAAAAATTAAGGGGTGGGTGGGTGGGGCTAGTGCTTGCATCGGTAAGACTGAACAATATTAAGAAAAATCACTGAAATTAAGAGGGGGTGGGTGGGCGGTACTAGTGCTTGCCCATAAAAGACTCGTTAGGAAAAAGTTAAACTTATCCCCGCCCACGCACCTGTTCTCTCATTTTATTTTCTTCTGAAATAAGAAATAAATCTTGTGACAAATAATACAACAAAAAAGTCACTTTTAGCGCTTTTTACAACCTAATTTCTATTAGTTCCCACTCCCAGTCTACAGAAGAACACATAACTAACCCCGCACATGCACCCACCTCCATTTCTGTGATTAATTTTATCTAGTTACTCTGAATGAAAAGGTGGATATTATACAGAAATAAAATGAGTTTCTAAAAGAGAAGAGAGAGAGTGGGCGTGGCTAGTACTTGTTAAGACAAGAGTGATTTTGCAGATGACATACCTCTAAAAAAATAAAGGGTGGGTGGGTGGGGCTAGTACTTGCAACGACAAGACTAAACAACATTAAGGGTAGTAACTGGAATGAAATGTGTGAGGGTGGGCGGGGCTATTGCTGGCTTATAAAAAAACTCTTTAGGAAAAAGTTAAAGTTAGCCCCGCTCACCCACTCGCCTCCATTTCGGTGATTAATTTTATCTATTCTGAATGAAAGGTGGATCTTACACGGAAATAAAATTAATCTCTAAAATGAGAAGAGGAAGAGTGGGCCTGGCTAGTACTTGTTAAGATAAGACAATATTAAGAGTAGTAACTGCAATGAAACGGGTGAGGATGGGCGGGGCTATTGCTTGCCTATAGAGACCCTTTAGGAAAAAGTGAAACTTAGTATATCTAGAGTCTCTAGTCACAAGTTATGCAAGTTTTTTAGTTGTCTATGAAAAAGGTGATGCGATTTGTCAAAATTTTTCAAATGTATAAGACCAGGTTAAATTACTTGAGAACCTACGTGTGATGGAAAGATAATTATACTGTCAACCTCAATATGTACATAATTTTTCCATAGCGTCCGATAGTGTCAGGATTTTTTCTTTACTATGATGTAATTGGGTTGACAATTAGAAAAGAAAAAAAAACATGAAATAAAGTGATATTTCTAATAACCTGAAGTTAAGTATGAAGGTATTAAATTCAACTGATTCCTAAAATAAAACTTGGCAGTTATAAACCTGGATCATATAATAATTACCCAAATATAAATAAATATTCATAATTTAATTAAAATTATAAACGTTATAGTTATTCTTTGCATCAGGGCAAGAGTACGTTTTTAAGTCATTTAATCTGGAGTTACAATAAAGTACCTAAGTCACATTTAAAAAATCTTGGTCAGATTGCGTCAACTAGAAAAGTTTCGTAAGTCATGATTAGACAAAAATAGGATAGAACTTTGTGGAACCAAGTCATTTAAAGTGTGCCATAAGTCACATGTGACAACTCGTGGCCAAATTGCGTCACTATTTTCACAGCCAACTAGAAAACTCGCATGAGTACCATGACTCAACACAAACAATACAAAACTTTGTGGAACTTTCTCGTAGTATAAAGATCGCGAAACCGCGATAAACAAAAAATCGTGAATGACTTGCGTCGTTCCAAGAATCCACTGGAGGCGGTAAAGTAGGAAGTCCATCGCATGATTCATAAACCGCTACCTAGATGTCCTCAAGTTCAGTTCGCTGTCAGATTTTGCGCTCGCGTACATGAAAATAACCGTACACAACAGTTTTGAGTTAATTAAATTCCATTCAACAATTATTTGAACGAACTCGAGGCCAGAAGCCAGTCGTGTTAGTGCCGACTCCGCCGCCACACAAAAAAACCAAAATTCCCAAACGGCATCCACGTGTTGACCACCAATTCGAATCGAAGCGAATTAGAATGGCCCCAATCGGTGAGTTTACTGTTTCTCCCGTTCGCTCTATCTTTTTTGTGTTCTACTCTTGTTTCTCTTACCTTCGCCTTTTCGACGCTCCTACAGGTCGCTATGAGGTGGGCTGGGGGATTTTTTTCTCTCACTAGATGTCTTATCAGACCTAACCCTATTCCCCGGTTGCATCCAGTAACCAAAACCGACTTCATCTCTTATCACTTTTAAAGGTCGCTGCAGACTGATTCTGGCGTCTTGTAACTCTAAAGTAGGACTCACAGTGTAACAATTTAAAAATTCACTTTGTGTAAGTGCGTCGGGCTGTCAACAGTGCTATGGCGTTGCGTTTTTGTTTTCGTAATGTCATTTCCCGAGGTGTCTGTAAAGTGAAGAATACGAAATTTTTGGTGTTACAAAATGTGAACAGAAATTACTCAAATATCAGTACTGCCAGTAAGTGTTCAGTGAAAGTTTGTACGTAGGGAAATAGCATTGGAGTGGATTGGGAATGATGCTGCGTTTTTCTAACCTTCAGCGTGATTGTGTCATCAGCTTTAGATAATCGGACCGGTGTTGGGAGAATATGAGTATTATCTTTTTTAATAATTGTACTATTGTTATTTTACCTTGTCGCGGTGTGGGGATCAAACGGTTAATCACCGGTGTCAAAGTTAGAGTTTTCTGAGATGGAGTTTGACAGGTGTTTCCAAATCCATTTTTCCTTGCGGAAGACCAACAACAGACATGCATTCGGACGACTTTAGCTTGTAATGGGTGCGATAGCCTTGACCCACCCAGTCGTGTCATTAATTGAAAGTTACCTGACAGCTTTGCTTTTTTTAGAAGTAACGTCATTGTAGCATCATTTGTGGCAAAATTTATGTGTTCCGACATCTCAAGAAATACCGAGATGAAAAGCAGCAGAAGCTGGTATTAAATGTGGTGTCAAAAATGTACCGATTTTTTCGTGGCTGAAATATGCAACCTAAAGAAGATTAATGTTCTGCATTAATTTTTTTAAGTTTTTCTCAATGTTTCGTTCGGGCTTTTCTGGGAGTAAACAGAGTAAGTCATAAAATTAAATTATGATTTTTGCGCTTAATGAGATTAGCTTTTTAATAAAATTTCCATAAAACAGTTGCTTTGTGTACCTGTTGACTGTGCTATAATTTTTGCACAATCATGCCTTTTTTAATACAGGATGTAAAGCTGATGCAACAAAACCAGACCATATAATTGATTTTTTGCTACAATTATGAAAATCATTAATTTTATGAATGTTTGTGTATTAAAAAAATTAAATCATTTTGCGTAAAACCATCGCATGTGAATGGATTTTTTTAATTTATGATTTTATTGCACTTAATTTCCATGATAAAAATGTGGTTTGAAGCGAAAACACCAGCATAGATTACTCTCGCATATTCCCATCTGTCAATTTGCTGACCGTAAATGTAGGTTTTGGAGTTAAATTTATGGTATAAAATCTGCATGGATTAAAGAAGTAAGGTTATGTTGAAGGTGTCAGTGCTTCTTTTTTTCTGTCTTGTATGAACTGTTTTCAATTTTACTGTAAAATCCATTCCTATGGTATTGTGACACTTGTTGATTGTTTTCTGCGGAGAACGTCATTATTTGTAACAAAACTCTAATAGTGACTGAAATAAAAAAAAAATTTATTAATAATGGGTTGAGGTTGAGGACATTGTTCATTTTGCTGGTAGACAGAAAAGCATATTTGTCGTAATTTCTATAATGTAATTTATTAATCACTTTTGACCTCGTAGCAATGTATTTTGTCACTTTTTTTTTCGGTGGGTGGTGTATAGTGCTGCAACTGCTGGTTCATTTTTATGACTGCATCCTATTGTGAAGGAGTTAAGTGTTCCACAATAGGCCTCTGCCGCAAGTAATCCAGCGGTTATAAACCATCAAAGGACCAACGGTCTAGAGTACACAGGGCCGTATGGGCCCGTAAATCTTTAAGATGATTTATGGCTATTTACATTTTCAATAGAGTTTGTAATACTTGCGGTAATTGAGATTGCAGTGCGATAAAAACGAAGTCAGAGTTGGACCACTATGGACAGTGATTAGAACTTTAAAAAAGTAATGCATTACAATTACTCATTATTCAGTGACAATAGTAATTCATTGCAATTACAAATTACTGTTTTTTAAAGGGGATTTATTACATTTTGCACTTTGAAAAATTTGATGAAGACACAATTTTAGATATTTGTTGTATAGGTCCAAAGAGTCAGGAAAAAACGTGTTAGAATGAAAAAGGCAGAGAGTGATTTATTTTACTAACGCATTTGTTACATATTCACATCAGTAAATAAAATAAAACAAATAAATACTTGACGCAAGAGGACTATATTCATAATTTAAATTCAATAATCACTGACATTCAAAATTTTCGTCAGCTAAGGCATGACGTTTTGTACTAAAAACATCCGCACCAACACTAAACATCCTTTCCACTGCGGCGCTAGATGGAATTGTTCTGGGGCAACATGTTACATATTTTACCAAAAATTGAAGAGCCGATTCTTTTGCGCCTAATTTCATTCCACTCTAGCTACAAATAAAAGTTTGATGCCAACTGCAACAACTTTTAAACAAAAATTTGCATTTGTGGGAAATTTCAAAATATCTTATTGGCTACATGTAACTGTATCGTAAATATTAGTCCACCGATAATTACCTGCGGACGCAAATATTTTAATCTTTAATAAAAATGATGTTCCTAAATACTTAGAAGGGGCTACAAGATAATGTAAACTTAAAAGTCTGTCTTTAATTGCCTCTTACTTAGCGTTGTGACTTACAGATTCAATTTAGGCCCGTTATTTCAGTTGTTGGTTAAAATCGTAGTTAACAAGCCATGGTTACGCTTTTACCAAAACTTTAACCAAGAACCGGTATTTCAGTAGCGAAACTTTGGTTAAGTATATCTTGGTTATCTAACCAACATTTTTCTTCAGTTGGTAGCATTATTGGTCGGACATGATACGGACTGTTGACTATTTTTAACCTCACTTTTATCTTATATACGTTTTTTCCCCGTGAAAAAGTACCTCTCGGTTACCTGTTATAGATTTGCGTGGACCAGAAAAATGGCTAAAGTTTGTTTGACCACAAATTTTAAATATTCTGTCCCTGTTTACTCCAGTATTTATTAAGATATTTTATTTCTGCAAAGAGTGATGGATTTTTTAATACAATTTCTACTGATGTACCTTTTTGAAAATTTAAAATTGATTCATAAATAGCGAAAACCAGGTAATCTCATACTCATCACAATTTTAACGCGTTGTAGTTTTTTTTTGACAAAATTTAAAAAACGGAAAAGCAGTCGGGGTAGGTTTTTTTACGCTCATTTCAACGGTGTGAACTTTATTACAACCGGACGTATACTTTTGGCAAAAACTTGGGCAGAAGTTTATATGTATTTTCTTATACTGGAATATGGTTTAGCTCACCCTTAAAATGATGAAGAGCTTATGTATATTATGGTTACCTGGTTTCTTAACAAATTCTGTGCTAAACTCGTTTTAGATACTAGGTTAATCTTCTTTTTGTGGGGACGAAACAGGTATAATAATCCCAGCAGGTCAGGTAAAGAATTCCTAGAGAAAAACAAAACAATGTTTTTGAGTATTTGAGTTAAAAGTAATTGTAACAGTGACTGAATTATTCAAAAAAGTAATTCGTTAGTTACAATTGCTCATTACATTTTTTAAAAAGTAATACATTACAATTAGGTATTCATTACTTGAAAAGGAATTGAATTACAGTAATAAATAACTTGAATTACTTCCAAACACTGGGTATAAAATGATGCATACTAATATAAGTTATAAATTATTCAGTTATTATCGTGAAGAATCTTTAGGAAAGTGACAGTTATAAATGTGACACTGAATAGTGAATAGTCTTTTAGTCTTTTTTAAGACTATTGTGCATTTAATGAATAAAGTCAAATGCAGTACGAAAGAGGCCTGGGCGGGGCTTATGACGCGTGGGGTTCAGACCACAGTGGCGCAACGATTCTAACATAAGAAGGTTACGTACTTACAATAAATATTATCTATGTACTTTCAAAAAATCTTTGTGAATTCCAAAGATTACAGAAAATTACATTCTTAAAACTATTAGGAGTACTATTATTTATTAAATGTGGCACAAATAATATATTCTGAGTATGGGTGCGCGCCACTGCAAAAACGTTCTCCCCTTAGAATTCGACCGAAATAAATTGACACCATGCGCAGATCACGTGATGGCCCCTTTCGTTTTGCACACAACTATACTTAAAAATGACTATACACTGATTTGGTTACCCCCCTCTCCCAGTCGCTTTGCACGTGATAAATATCAACAAATGCAACAATGTTTTTCCACCATCAGTCTGCGTCAGTTATTATCGTTAATTGGATGGATCTGTTATACCGATGTATCGACTTACGTTATGTTGCAATGGTGTTCTTTTAAACTTTTAGTAGAAACTTTTAGGCCGGAATAAAAAAATCACACGTTCGTAAAGAATTGTGTAGGATCGGTTGAAAAATCTTTACCACACTAGCAAAGCAAGATTAAGATCGAATACTGGTTCATCAAATTGGTTTCGTAGTAGAAATTTCCCCGATAATTTGCACTATAATTCAGTAAATTACAAGAATTCAGGATGTTTTTAAGGAAAATATTACGACAGAATCAATTATAGTGGCTGCTTTCTGAAGAATTATAATTATGCTTGAGTATTCGATAAAAAATCTTATCCTCACGCAATACCTTTCTACCTGAGTGGCTGTAGAAACTATAAGTTATGCGTATTCCGAGAAACTCGATTATTATTACACAGAAATGGGTAATTTTATTTGCAATGGAATGTTTACGAAGAAACATAAAAAAAAATCAATTCGGAGACCGTCCTTCTGTAAGAAGGTGATTGAAGAGAGGGTGTGCAGTAATAGACTTCTCAGGAGGGATTTATTTTTGGTTTTTGGCGTGAAGGTTATTCTCAATTAATTTAGAGGTTATCCGCTTGTTCTTCACTTTTTATTGAAATTACATATGTTATATTATAGCGTACATGTTTCGGTCTACCTTTCAGCCTTCTTCAGCGCTTTTCTAATAATATGGAATTCATAATATGGAAGCTCACGCTGCTGTTGGTAGAGTATATTCAAGACAACTAAGCAAACTGTATAGAATAAAATTAGACATAAAATACGTGAAAACATATGTCAAAGAAGGAATCATCCCAAAATTCGCCAGATTCAAACTGCCCCACACCATGCCAACAAATGAGCAAACAAGAATCAGAAAGAAATGCACCAGAAGATCACTGACCAACCTATACAAGAAATTTAATATAACTAGAGAGAAGTTAGAAACACTAGAAACAACTCTCAAAAAAACACAATGAACATTGGAATAACAAAAAAATAGAGTTAGATAGAAAAACAAAATATAAAACGTTGGAAAAAGAAGCTGAACGAAACAGGAATTTACATCAACTCAAAAAAGAACAAAACTCAAATCCTCAAATACAGCCCTAGATACCCTAGAGTAGAAAATCTTACCAACATTCAATTTAATCATGAGATGGCATTACTAAATAAAGGACTAAAACACGCTATCAAAACAACATTGTCAAATTATCCTTAGATGTCAATTGCGCTATACAAAAATACATTAAATATAAGCAACAAGCAAGCTAAGAGATAAGATCTCTATGGACAACAGTAATAAATCAAGAAGAAACTTAGAAAAACTAAAGAACAGCAAATTTTAGACATCAGAAAGAAATTACAAGAAAATAACCTCACAACAGTCAAATCCATAAGGGATAAACTATCACCATAATGGTACATAGATAAAGTGGAAACCTTCATGACAAAACAAGGCTTCAAGAAGATAAAAAACAACCCACTCAATAGTTACACGACAAAAATCAAAAAGGTCATCAACAAATGCAAAGCCACGATAAAAAACTAAATGGAAGCAAATTTTTCGTCCCAATGAACCCGAAAACGCAAAAACTTTATGGACAA